TAATAGTACTCGTGATGTTTGGAAATTTGCCAAATTGGACTCACCCCGGCGGCTCGTCCAATTTTGGCAAAATTTCCAAACATCACTCGTACTATTAATCCCTAATTGTACTCGCCATCGCATGATTACCTATACTAATTCTTCCACCTCGGAGCGAAAATACCATGCGTTGAAAAAAGATACAATGAAATAGATCGACAGTGTGCGTACACTAAGATTGATAATCCGTCAGAGTCGATTATCCATCGCTACCTTACAAGGAGTGGACAAAATTAAAGTCCTCCCTGACCTACCCTCGACATCAGGTTCACAGATCACATCATCAGGGTTGTCTGGTGGTTCTCGAATATTCGGATTGTCCAGACAGGGCAGTGGACCTCTCAGTTTCTTGGCAAGAAAGTCCCAGTCTTTTTTCAACACGAAGTTGTAGATCTTTTTGCCCATTAAATCGTGCTAGAGAAAAAAAACAAACTTTGTTTTATGATTGTTAAAAACACATGTTAAGAGTACGATTTTTATCATGAGACGTGGAACTGTTTAATTTTTTACTTCTAGTCCTTACAATAATTGTGTAAAAATGTAAAATGTTGCGATTAACTTACCGGTGGGAATCCCAGATAGTTCACCACTTTGTCGTTGACAAAGATAATCGTCCCATCTTTGGCGAGAAAAATTATGAAGCCATCCATAACCTTTACAAAATATACGCAGAAGCATTTGTTAGTATATAGGTACTAGTATGGTTTCGAGTGTAATTTGCAAATTATGCAAGAGTTAGGGTTTTTTAACGAGGACCAAAATTGCCCGAAGCCAAAGGACGAGTGCAATTTGAAGTCTTTGTTTTTCCAAATTGAACGACAAACTTGCATTACTTAATAATATACATGAAACATTCATGCAGAAGCAAATTAAAATTAACATACCTGCGTGTAAATAGGTTCAAGACAATACATTTTTAAAGTTTGAATAATGCAAATCATTAAAAATTTGCATAGCATGACCTGTTGCTATATGGCCAGCTTCGCCGCTGTTGTTTTTTGGCAACGAATTTCCTTTTTTGACACTGTTCAGAATATTATTTCATGTATATTATTAAGTATTTTACAGAAACAATTCTATACATACACACTACACTTCTGCACAAAATGGATACAAATTAATTTACCTCCAAGCTTAAGTTCTCGATGCCCTTAGTCGCAGAACATCCATTGTCTGTAAAAAAAAGAGAGAAATGTGAACTTACTTTACGTATGCTTGTGATGTTACTCTGAGTGTATATCCACACCGGGCAGGCTTGAAAAATATGCCTGGCCACGCTGGGAATCGAACCTACGACCTTTGGAATACTAGCCCAATGCTCTGCCAACTGAGCTACGCGGTCAGGTCGGTTCGAGTATGTGATATTTCGGAACTGAGTCTAGTTCCTTCGATATCAATATAATCTAATAATCATGATATTTGCTGTGTTGGTGTAATGTACTCAGGTGAATAAGATGCTTTAAGTAAGTGAGTAAGTGGGGTGTGCTCGTCATCCTGAGAAGCTGAATTTCGAAGGACGCAGCTCAATCTGATCCAGTTGAAGGCTTACCAAGAGCACCTTTCCCAGCCGCTAAGTAAAAACGTTATGACTCTATATCGCCTGTATTCTAAAAGCTCACGGCTCACACTGAGTGGAAGTTCAATCTGAGCTTCCCTTGTGTGTCAGTGCTGTTTTTGAATAGCTGGAGGGTGAGTAGTCACAGAGTAAGGTACGACACTGACCCTCCAGCTATTTAAAAACAGCACTGACACTCAAGGGAAGCTCAGATTGAACCTCCACTCTTCGAGTGTGTGTGAGCTTTTAGAATACAGTGTAAACGGTTTTTTAGTAATACCAAATACTGGACCTCGTACTAGAACTGACAGAGCAATCCATCCAGTTGTAACATACCTATCATTTGGGCATTACGACTTCCGTTTAAAACTTTCATCAGGCCAATGTAGCTCGTGGACAGTCGAATAATAGTGGATTTATCAGGAGGGCTGTCAGGAATCCATGGAACGAGTCGATTGAGCTGCTCGATGTTCTCGTTCTCGTTCTTACGTCGAGTCTTCGCTGCGACTCGGGATTTTGCCTTCTGTGTTTCATTTCTGATCGAATTTGGCGTCTTTTTGTTGTTTTTACTTGCGTCCCTGGTTGAAATTAAAAGCCATTATTTACACGTAAAAATCTCACCGCTTGTCAACAAGATGTGTTCGCAACAGGCTTGTAGCAAGCTTGTCAACAAGTTGTAACAATGCTGTTATTTCATTAAGGTTGTCACTCAGAACTTGTTGACAAATTTGTTGAATTGCAGGACGATTAGCAAGTTGTTGGAACAAGTTGTTGGAACAACTTGTAACAAGTTGTCAACAAGCTGTCAACAAGCTGGGAACAAGCAGTGCGAACACGTCCTGGTTTAACGTACTTTGAAAAACGACCCATCTTATGAGTTCATTGGCGAAGTAATTTTAAAAATAAACATTGTCTAAGCCGAGAAAATCATAGCTGAAGTCTCAGTAAATCAGGACAAATCTTTATCCGATTTACAGACATTGATTAAACATTCACTTCTTTTGAATTTTCTTCATGAATTATTAATGAGTATTTTAAGTATCAGTACAGTTTCTCGACACCCATGTATTTAAAGTCTTCAAAAATACAGTCACGAAACGTATATCTGAATATCATACGGATCCTTCGTAGCTTATACAACCAAACAATTAAACAAATAGCCATTTATTTGAAGTATGAATAAACAACCCCATTAAATATTAGCAAGTAATTTTCCGCAAAAAGTTGAGAGTATATGCGAGAGGTTTCCGAGTTAAATTCCTTAATAATTAGATTATGTCATCAAGTGTCCGTCCTACATATACGTAAAGAGCCTATTATCGATAATTCGTGGTACTTACGACTCGGGCTACCGGTATGCGTAAGTACGCGAATTATCGATAATAGGGCCTTTTAATACGTACGTAGGACGGAAACTCGATGACATAATCTAATTATTATGGAATTTTTCCATCTACTTGAAGAGTTAATAAGCAACCCCATTAAATATTTTCCGCATTAGTAATTTTCCGCAACTAAAAGTTGCGAGTATGCCAGAGAAGTATCCAGTTAAAACTGGATACTTTTGGCATACTCGCAACTTTTTGCGGAAAATTTCTGATGCGGAAAATATTTAACGGGCTAACGTACCGGAGGCGGACTGATGTGGATCTAAGGAATGTTGGAGTCGACTGTATATATAGTGTATGTGACTGTGCTCCTTGACCTTGTTCTGAAGCCGGTTACAGACGAGCAAGGTTTCTATGACAGGTTTTTATGTGACAAGTTTTATTTGCCAAGTGCACGTGTGTGTATGCAACAAATTTTATATGACAAGTTTTCATATGACAAGTTTTATTTACTGGTGTGAACATGTCAACAAGTTTACTTTGACAATTTATTAGTGGCCAGCTAGCCAATCGCATCAAATGCTCAGATTACTTTGGCAAGTTTTCTTTGTTGACCCATACAGACGAACAAAATTTGTACTTCGACATTTTTTTCTATGACAAGTGCACTTGTTCAAAAGCGAGAATGCTAGCTTGCTAGCTTTTGAACAAGTGCACTTGTCATAGAAAAAATTGTCAAAGTTGCGCGTACAGACGAGCAAATAAAACTTGCCAAATAAAAACTACGTCTGTAACCGGCTTATAACTTGCAGTTGTTTGAACATACCTTTCAGAAATCTGTACTATATGTGCTTATAAGTACAATGGTTTTCAAAATATATAGCTTGCTATACCTCTGCCCCCCCCCCCCCTCCTAAAGGGCAAAAGGACTGCCCGTGTGAAAAGCTGAAATCCGGGCAGAAATGGGAGGAGGGGGGCAGAAATGATTCCCATCTTTTCTGTTTACCAATAAAAGTTGCAGTGTTCCCTATCTAGAATCCTAACTCCAGTAAAAAAATACCTATGGCTATATGGTGGTTGAAAGCACATTTGAACTTGAATTTACGCGCATAGCGCATAAAAAGAGTCAAAGTTCACTCTTTTTATTACAATATAATTTCCACTTCAAAAACGAAGACATCGTGCTATTTGATACATTACAATTTGGTTACAGAACTCAGTTGTGTTGCTATATATAATCACTATAGAAACTATATGTTTAGTTAATTTGGATGACTTTAAGACTCCTTAGGCTTAGGGCCCCCACAGACTAGAGTGATTTGTTGTCGATACCTTTATTTATCGATAACTGCTCGATAGCTGCTCCCCACACACTATAAAAGGCGTTCGCCTTTGTCAACAATATTGATTTGTCGACCAAAATCAAGTCAAGGCCCTTAGACCCTCTCCATCAACACAACCACCTATTCAGAATAATTATTCTGAAAGCCCTGTAGGTACCCATCTATTATTGAGGTTTACTGACGCAAGGACGCGGCAATAATCAGTAGAGAGGTTTTAAGCTTGACGTTTACGACAGACCGGTATAACCGCGAACGGCAACCTTCAATTCGCATTTGAAGGAAAGTTCTACAAGTTTCCGAAGGTTTCGACATGTTTTTAGTCAATTCCTTCTTCAATTGTAATGCACAAATTGTCCTAACTTCGAACAGCTTACAGTTGAAAATACGACTTGAAGTTAGCGGTTACCGGTCTGTCGTAAACGTCAATTTTAACCTCTCTAATTGGCGTAGCAGTTATACGCACGAATAAAAATCGTCAATTCCCGCATTCTGTAGAGATTTTGCCGACTCGCCTTTGTTTATAAGAAAAAAACCCCACCGGTATATAAATTGGTTATGCGTCTAAACACTCCCTCTATAAGAGCCATTTACGCCCACAGTTACAGATGCACGTACGTGATCGCGTGGGCTTGACGGTTAAGAATAGCCAAATTCATTGTATAAGTATTTTTCAAATATTGTATCGGTTGCAGTTACTGAAAAGCATTAAAATGTTTTCAAGCGTCTTTCGTCTAGAAGTTCCGGCATAACTTTAACATTCAGCCTATTTCAGGGCGCTCGCTTTGAATGCCAATGTTTATATAGGTGGTTTATAAATAGGGTGTGTCATATAAAAGGAAGACCTTTAGAAATTAATCTACTGTTGTTAAGCACAATATATTTTGCTCTGGGTAATTAAGAATTCAAATCAAAGAATTCAGTTTCTTGATACTCCTGTGGACATCAAACATGACAACTTGTTGTACAGGCATTAAAATAGCGTGTCCTTGTACACACTTTGTGTCGTTGTAAAAGGCGAATGTGCCCTTGTAAATTGAAAAGTGTGTACTTGAAAATATATTAAACTGAAAATATATTAATGTAATCCACGCAAAATGGCCAAAGATTTTGCAAATTCTGTTCTCAGAACTCTGGAAATGCCATTTCAGACTGCATGTGGCTTCGCCACTCGTTCTCGTGAGTCTGCGCATTTATACCAAAAATACGCCTCTGAAGGCAAAGTGTGTCCTTGTAAAAATTCCGTATTTTAATGCCTGTTGTTGTAGAATATGATACCTATACCCTGGACCCCCCATGTTTGAGATATCTTTTTCAGTATAGAATACTACCTATACAAATTACGGTCCTTACGTTTGAAACCCTTTTAGGGTAGTTTTGAGGATATTTTTTTCAGGTATAATTCCTACACAAACAATCAATGGCTACGTGTTGTAGAGTGATTGAATAAATTATAGGGGGTGTAATTAACTGTAGTAAATATACACAGAACAAATATTATAATATATGGAGCAGTATGAGCTAGTTAAAACTATATGAACTATTTCGCAGTAAAGCCCATTTAGACGTCAAATTTTTTTGTGGTATTGCCAACTGGCCACGCAAAAAGGAATTTCAAAAAATTATTTCCGACGTACCAACCGTATATTTTTTTCGTTATGGCTAATCAGTATCTACTCAATTTTGACAGGAAAAATGATTATTATTTTTTTATTATTTTAGAACGTATCTGAGAAGCACCATTCAAATGCATATATATATTATATATATAGCCGTTCCTTTTAATGGAAATGATAATTACGACATGGTATGTTTTGAATTGAGGAATTTTTAGTATTACCAAATAGTTTTGTATAATTATGCACTTACAAGACTTACAATAATGTGGCTCTTCATAATACGATTGGCGCCAGACAATTTTCAATTACCCAATCGTCGTTTTGTGGTAGTATCAATTGTTTTGGCAGCTGCTGATTGTGAAAGATTCAACTACCTTAAAATTATAAACGGAAATTCGACCTTTCAAGCGAAGGTGAAAGGGCTGGTTTGTTTTCGTTTCTACCCACGCTGGCATCGAGGTTAATTATTTTTACAGTCTTATTGTTTCAAGGACACAGTAATTTGGTTTTTTATAGAAACAATCGATTAAACCAGGCACCCATGCTTCAAATAAGATACCATTGATAGAATAACATCACGTATTTTATAACAATATACTGTTGTGTAATGGTACCAGGCGAACGTATTTGTGGGATTTACAATCGAGGCAAAAATAAGATAGTATCATGATTGTGAAATTGTCAAGCAAGACTACAGACTAGTCCTTGCTGCTGTAGCTTCCTCTGGTACTTGGGCAACGGTCGCACCCTGAACCATGACCCAGAGGCCGATGAGAACCCCATCCCATCTCCCCTACTAGTTCTGGCTCAATCGATCCCTTATTTCCATTACATCCTGGTTAAAAATGTCCACTGTTTGGGGTAACTTGATGTTCGTGGTAAAATTTCCAGGTTAATTTAACTGACCAACATGATTAATTTGATCATACATAGTCCTCGCTAATTAAACCAGGATTTCTGGTCAATAATCCACCTTACATAATCTGGTTAATCTAACCATATAGCCCGATTAAATTGGTCAGGAAATTTTTAACCAAGGGTGTTTTTGAGTGTAAGTGCATTGAATTTGCCAGCAAACAAAAGTCGTTTCTAGTTTAGAATTGTTGATTTGAACAGTATATGCTGCACTGCGCATGTCCCACTTTTAGTGAAAATGTATATATAAGTATAAACACCGCGGAAAAACGTCTGCGCATGCGTCAACCTTACCTGTAATAGTATTGCGAACTTGATGAGAAGCTGTTCCGAAGGCTCAAAATGGCGGTAAAATGGAGTGGCTTCCTTGTGCGTCTTTACAGCCAGATTTCGAGCGCAAAAATAGACATGCAATTCTAAAAACTAGGAATAAATACAGCCAGAAGGTTCAAGAAATTGTATTGTACAAGAATATGAACTAAAGGTGATTGTTGACAAATTTATCGTCTGAAACATTTTGTTTATCAACTAAGCAACGACAATTTCCGAATTTTCGTTTGAGATACATTTCTTTAAAAAAAACTGTGTCGCCAAATATAAATAATTTTCGTGTTCACAATAATTAAACTTTAGGATTTATTCTACAATATGAGTGGGTTAAGAAGCTTAACTTTTCGAGAGTTTTCTTAACTTTTGAGTTTGAATTTTTGTTTTGAATAATTTTGCAAAAATTTTCGAAGTCGTGTCCGTTAAAATCAACAATTTTTTACATGAATTATATTTCATTTCATACTTTAAATGCCAGGACGCTTTCAATTAATGTCTAGTCTGCCCATTTGCTATATTTTCTCGTTTGTTTTACTAATTTTTGACCAATTAATAAGCATGTTTTTGTTTTAGAAAATTGATATTCAAATTCCCCCGCCATATTTTCATAATTTGGTGCATGCGCAGACGTTTTTCCGCGGTGTTATAACTATATATATGTACAATGCAATAAGTATATGCAGCATCATCACGATCGATCAACATACGTGACCCTGGCCTGGCCGGTTAGACGTATGTGTTTATATATGAAATTTTGGACTATATCCCCTCTGCAGCTAGGAAAGAATTTAATTTCAAGTTAAATTATCTTAAGTGGATGTGCTAGAACTTGGCAACGGAATTTAGACTCGACAACAAGTTAAGACGGCTATATATTCTTTTCAACAAAAACAACGTAGACGTGTCTATCAAACGTAAATTTTTTTATCACACTACTTAATTTGTTTTGATCAAATACTTAAAATGGTTTATTTCGTTTTGGTTTTTGAGACGTTTTAGCCCAGACACGCGATAAATTGCTTAAATATTTAGTTTATAACATTTGGAAAATCAATGTAGTTTTGTTTATACAGTATACACTTGGCAATAACTTCATATTGATATATATCAAATGCATGGATCATATCAAAACAATTTCTTTGACAATTGCATGCACAATGATCTCTGTATTACTGGACTCAACTCGCAACGTGTTAGTGGTAGTACTTCCATAAAAATACATTGATTAACTTAAACTGATGGTTAAACTTCGGTTCGATTGCGTCAACTGAGGTCCTATTGCGTCAAATACCAAAATTAACTAATATTTCTATCCTGCATTGTTAGAATAAGTATATACAGACGTGTGCCAATTTGATTTTCTGCCGAGGGCAATTATGCTAATATGCTTGTTGCATTTTTTGCATTCTCTAAAAATTTTGTACATTTATATATGTATTTCTGTATATTTCTTTACTTAAAATTTCTATCCATATTCGTTTGAAACTGATAGACTTCAATTTTAAGAATACTCTTAGTTTTTTTATAAACCATTTAGTCGCCATGGGGTATAAACTTGAGAATAAATTTTTTTTAAAAAACTGTGTTTATAAGTATACTCTTTGTATAGATGCAATTATTATATAGACAGTAAAATTGAGGTTAAACTCACTGTGTTGTATTTTGTAGAGCGACTTCATACTGAATATAATAATTTACACTGTCGTGATAACATTTACAAAAATAATATAACGAAATGAATAATTTATCAAATGTAGGATTATGCTGAACTCTGTCCATTGAGAAAATAATCATTTTATATCATAATAATCATTTACCATATTTATATGCTTTATGAAACATCGGGGACAGGCACGTAATATATTGATAAAACACAGATAACGAAACCTGTTAATAACAGACTTATTGATAGCATCATTCTGGACTTCGGAAAATTGCGACCAATTTTTGTTATGTATATTAATAGATTAAATGCTGTTTTGGTCAAAACCACTTAGTTCAACCATTTGAGCGTGCATGTAAGTGCGACATGTTGTAAAACATGGAGTGAGAATTTACAAATCATGGACTCAGTGTGTGTTTTACAAATTATGGACCCAACCTATAGTCTAGTTCCAGGCCTTCCCGCGTGTCTGGGTCTGTTTTGAACCGTCGACTTGTCGTAGTCCTAAATTCATAAACCCGAACTGCCGGTACATCATGTATTTCCTCCCATTTCGAAATGTCTTCATTGTTCATCCCAAAGGCATAAAGTTATACAAAGATATCGATGTAAATATATAGAACTGAGTCCATGTTTTTCGAGTCCATCTTTTACAACATGTCATTAGTGTCAGAATAAAAAGAATTAAACACCATTAGCAACAAGAATTGGTTTGGAAGCTTTAAGTGTAATTTTGCGTTATTTGTCTTTGTTAGTGCTATTAATATTTTATGACAATCACCCGCCATTATATATGCATAGCCTTTCCTCAACTATATATTGTGCCAAACTTGGCATTTTTAATTGATAATGGTATGTAAATTTAATGGCATTTCAGAGACAGGTTTGTTCGGTATAGTGTCTTTGCGTCAATTGGTCTCAATTTTGTTTCGAATTTTTGGATGTGTGGTGGTGCCATAGTGATTCTTCAAAATCCAAGATTCCACTTAAGACGAATACAATGACCGCGTTATAGAATTGACGGACCATGCTGCCAAAGGCCGGTTACACTGCCAAAGACCGGTTACACTATCAAAAGTTTCTGTGATCACAGTAGCAATTTTGCATAGCTAAATTCAAAGTTTTGAAGGATTTGTAAGAAATGTTGGAGGGAAGTGACTTTGTGTATTAAATACTGAGTTAGTTCCTTCAAACATTTCTTACAAATCTTTCAAAACTTTACCTATGCAGAATTCCTACATTGATCACAGAAAACTAGGCTTTATATCTGCACAATGCCCATACATGCACTTCCAATATAGCCATTTTGAAAGATCAAAGAACCTCACCGTTTACCTTATAAGGGCTTTGCATTGTGTCTTTCGGAATTGACGTTTTAAATAAAAATTTTCCATAGTAATATTGCCGACATTTCTTAAAAATAATTGGTTCCGTGAATGACAAATTGATTCCGCAGCCGTTGATACCTGCCAGAGGACCTAGTGTAACCTATTAGAGGTGTGCATCGGATCGGATTGGACGTTTATAATCCGACAATTGGCTAATGTTTAAAATCCGATCCGATCCGAAATTGTCTAATCCGAATCCGATCCGAGTTGTGATAAAGAATTTCACTCCGAACCGATGAATCCTTTAACAAAATAAATTTCTCATGCAAGTTGAAATATTTAACCAAATCAATATAAAAACAAGAAATACATGTCAAGAAGCTGACAAAGTGACGTCAAATTGAAGTATCAAACGAAAAATGCAGCGACAACCGCGATAATGCTTTGATAAACGCATGGATAGTTAATTCTTGCAATAATGCGTGGATAATTAATTCATTTTATTTCGAATATCGAAGTCGGATCCGACTACGCAACAACTTTATCAATCCGATCCGATATGTATATTTTTGTTCCGAAATCCGAACGGATCGGATTTGCACACCTCTATGACTTATAATATATATATATATATATATATTCCAAACAAACCCAACATTCATTTCGGTAGCATATGATTTGCTAATGAAATTGATGATTTATAAACGAAAATTATACTGCATGTTCCTTAAGCGAAGACAAGACTAATTTTCTTCCAATTCATATCAGAAAATTATAATTGCATGCACGTATATAAGTACACATGCAGGCCGGCAATTTTTGGCGTTTACCGATTAGAAACATGATTAGAAACAGTTTCCTCTAACGAGAACAGCTTGGATCTGATAGAGTCAGAGTTTAGTATGAAGCTATATGTTGTTTACATTCATTCATGCATTCGCGTGATGCCTTGAAGACGGCAGTACCTGTTGTCTACACAAAATGTCGCATAAAAGTCTGCGAGTTTGACAGACACTTCACTAGCAGCATGTATTATAATTGCACTTTGCCAAGGAAATTTAGTCCAAGCTTGAAAATATGCATAAACTCGCCCCAGCCCCCCCATTGCTCCCGGTTGCTGATGAGTAGTCCGTAGTCGACTCATTCATACAGTTCGCCAAATAAATTGTTTATATAATAGTTTTGTTTGTGGAAACACCACGTAAATTTATTACTGCAAAGCTTTCGATCCGTAAGCCCGGATCTTCATCAGTGCTAATAATATGTGACATATTATATTTTATCACCATGCAAACATACAAAGAACTTAAATTGTTTATAGTCAAATGCATTCACGAAGAATATGTATTTATTAGTAATTGGAACACACAAAGTTTTTGGATTGAGGATATCAGACCAGCTCTCATTTCCTGAGAGGTGTGTCTAAAATACCCTGAAGTGATATAGTGTCAACATCATGATAGTGCGTGATACCACGTTGGTTATTTCAGTCCTATGCATTTTCGATATTGACAATAAAATTCTCTTGCAGCAGTAAGAAATTATTTGAACACACTGCACATAGTCTTATAACAACTTGAAATGCATAAAATGTCCTGTATATAGTGCAGTTAAATTGTGACTCTTGTCGTTTGCTTGTGAAGGAAGTCGTTTGAGTTATGGGTTATATACGTTGGTCTTTTATCGTATTATAATGCACTCTATAAAAACACTCTATAGTTAAAATTTATTTCCATAGTTAATTAACATAACTTACAGAACTGTTTCTCCATAATTTGGAGTTTCAGATAATATTATATTTTTATAAGTTTTCTTCTGAATACTTGGCTGTAATTTCCTACCAAAGTTTCCTACATTATTATATAAGTAGCAACTTAAACTAGATAAAAACGTGCATCGCCCCACTTGTGCATATGCCTGTGGTTCAATTATACAGCAGCTTAACCGCAATTGCTGATGATTTAGAGAAAAAAAGCGTATAGATTATGCGCCACAGGTAATGAAGAAATTGTTTTTCATTATTTCTCAATTATTTACCGCGTGAACAGCTTTAAGGGCTCGTTGATAACTTCACAATGTGCACTCATAAATTCAAAAGGGGCGGCGCTCACAGGCAGGGGTGAAAACAAATTTACTTTCTTCCCACAAGAGATTGAAATTTTTTTCTGCAAATAATCAAGTAAATTGACACTCGGACATTGTAACTGTGTGACACTAACAGGTCGTCAAAATTAATCAGTCATGCTATATTTTAACAGAAACAGTGCACTGTGAATCTTAATGATACTTTCAGGAATATAACATAAAACTAATCAAGGGTCTGATCCTATATAGGTAAATACACATGCTCAAAAAGGGTATTACCAGGGGGCATTATCAGGGGGATCCATGCCCCCTCCCCCAGAACATTTTGAAAATACATTTTCTGCCCTGCTGGCAGGCTCGCTTATGATGTCTGTCAGTTTGCCAAACTAATTTAGTGAAAGCGATACTTGTTCTGATATGAGCAGCCAAACCTGATTAATCATATCAGTTGCCAAATTATCGAATAAGGAGACGACATAAATCGGTTTACGACGGAACTATACAGAGTTCTAAAAATGCATTGTTATCACTTTGTTATCTTTAAATCTGCATTTAATCAGTCTAGAAATCATATTTGGGGCGCATTTCTTAGAGGCATGGTAAATATCTCCTTTCGAGAACAATTCATTCTTCAAAAATAGCTGCAATATTCAACTACTAAGCTTGAAACTTGTGTTTCCATTAAGCTTTGCGCGATTAAAGTTTAAGGTTTACAGTTTAATTAATTAAAGGGAAATGCAATATATTTTTTTATTTTCTCATTTGAAAGAACTTTCGAAACTATTTAATAACTTCTTTTAACGATTCTTCATATCTTGCTTAGTTCTTGAAATATTTTCACTTGAAGTAATGACATGTCAGCCATCTTGGATACATTTTTTATCTCATTAACGGTAGTTTTGGTTACGTCACAACAGGGATTAACCGTATAAAAGTATTCGTTGCTGACCAAATATTGATTGGTAGATGTTTTAAAGGTTTCAAGTGATCTTGATATTTCCAAGCGCATACAGAGTATAACTTTGAGTGCAAAATGATTAGTGGTTGTCTAGATAAAAATATTGCGTGACCCCTGTTGTGACGTAACATGCATATCTACAAAAATCCAATTCATTTCTTTCGATTAAAATATTTGTAGAAGTAAGCAAGATATGAAAAAACGGTAAAAGAGTTTTCTATACGATTTTAAATGTTCTTTCAAAGGAGAAAATAAAAAAATATATTGCCATTTCCCTTTAAGGTTTGCAAAGGACAACCTTTCTTGAATTGGCTGTATATATCGTATTGACAAAAGGCAAAGCGTCGCTCGCTGTTCCGTCGCCAAAATAAGATTTTTGGGTTGATTTCATTGGACCATTTGCATTATAGACTAAATTTTGGTCTAGACAACAATTTCATCACAGCTTGAAAGAGCATCACAAAATTAGTAATATTCCAAAGTTTCGTTGCGAAATGTTGTAAAATGTGGATAGTATAGCCTTGCGAAATTTGCAATTTTCAGTCATTTTGTATTACAAACAGGAAATTGATGCCCCATCACCCGATTGGGCTGTCAATTTCCCGTTTGTAATCTAAAATGACTGAAAATTGCAAATTTCGCAAGGCTATATTATCCGCATTTTACAACATTTCGCAACGAAACTTTGGAATATTACTAATTTTGTGATGCTCTTTCAAGCTGTGATGAAATTTTTGTCTAGACTTGTCTAGATCAAAATTTAGTCTATAATGCAAATGGTCCATTGGCAATGTAGGTAATTGTTACATGTAATTTGTAATTTGTGCGCCCTGGCAGTATCGCATTTAATAACGTGCTGTGAGTAATATCCTCATAGTGATATAGCCTCATTATATAGTTCAATATTTTTAACACTTGGTCAGTTTTTTTTAATGAAAACAAGGAGTGCAATTCTAACATGTCAGCGTGGGCGTATGTATATAGTATATCCTGTGGTCGGATATATATTGCATGTCCAGCATGTTCCATACATCGTACGTGAGGAAAGCTAGCTTAATTATACTGCATGACAGCATGAGGCCGTTACGGTCAACAATTTATTTGTATCTAGACCCTTCCCATGATATCTTCGTCATCTGTACTATAGTTTGTTGCCACGTTGAAATTTTGTATATATAATTATTAGGAACAAAATCAATTGTGCACTGCAAAAAAAATTGATTCAAACTTGAGTAAAATTAATGCACCCAAATTAATTAGAAGTAATTTGAATCGTGCACTGCAAAAATTTTGATTCAAACTTGAGTAAAATAAATGCACCCAAATTAATTAGGAGTAATTTGAATCAAAATCATGTGTTTTTTAAATTTTTGACTGAACGATTTGTTGGAATGATAATTCATGTATATACATGCAGAGCAAACGTTGTTTCAAAACTGTCGTTGTAAAAAGTTATAAAATGCAATATACAAAATCTTGAATTTCTAAAACTTCACAAGTCTTTGATCTCAGAAATTCCTCGAGGATTCGAGAGTGCAGAAATGTTCTTGCGGAGAATTGCCCCCAGAGTCCACATCCCTCTTGGTTGAGCCTCCCCAATGGGCAATAACAATTTACTTCCGAAATGCTTCCAATTTTGTATACTGCCAACAAATGTTTCCTGGAGGAGTTCACTTGTTAGCGGCTAGTGTGTACATTCAACAGTTATTCTTTAACAAACTTACTTGGCATGTTAACATCCAAGTTAACTTGTCCAGGAAACATATGTTGACACGCAGTATATACACACAAAAGAAACCGTCTCATGAATTAAGAAAAACATGCAGACAACTATCTTATATAAATATAGCCCAGTAGTACACAGAAAAACAAGTACAAAATATATCTAATCATATATAAGTTCCGTTTTCCTTATCCTATTATTTGTATATAGATATATGTGGACCTGGTTTACACTATCGAAGTTTCTGTGATCACAGTAGGAATTTTGCATATAGATTTGCATTTTGAAGATTTTTTAAGATATATATTTGAAGGAACTGCATACTCTCAGTTTAACACTGAGTCCGGTCCCTCGAAGATTTCTTACAAATTCTTCAAAATGCAAACATATGTGCAAGATTCCTACTGCATGTGATTACAGAAGCTTTGGTAGGGTAAATGACGAGCCTTTATTTAGTCTTTACTTCTACTCGATGCAAAAAAATGAGAAATTGATTGAAACAATTAATAAAAAAGGCGAAAAACATCAAGTCATTATTCATTAAGAGAAGAGTTTTAGTCATTATTGAAATGCAATTGTCAAACTGAGATCATAGTTGTCATAATGTTTATGCTTGCAATTTGCAACGAATGATATATCGTCTTTTGACCGCTTATAAATGTATAATTGATAATTTCCAGAGGCAGAAATACAGCGAGTCCCATGCACAGCCAGGGGATATAGCTTATAATTACATCTTTTTGCATATCAGTCATTATATTACTCTTTAAAAATATATTGATTAATTAATGTGCTTTGTTTATGCATCCGTGGATGCATTGCAGACCTATATATCATGTCATGCACTAGTATACGGCACAAAATTGCCTATATACTTGCTAATGTGAGTAATGTGAATCCAATAGCATGTATATAGCCTTCGCGTATTTTAAACATTAAGGAAAATGTCTGCTCAGTTAATTGTTTCAGAATTTCTTCACCATACATAATTCATTTCAACAGATTATATACGCTGCCGAAATGAAACATCTATGACAAAGACTTAAAGAGTCGATTTTTCATCCAACCATGTAACCATCTCGGGATCTCGGATACTGAGGAAAATTTGTCTTAGGCTTAGCAGCTATATACGTTATGCCTATGGAATCATTATATCATAACTACGATGTTTATCATTTGAAACATAAATATACATGCAGTCAACTATAATATATTTTGTTGTTGTATACATAAAGGTATCATGACATGTATGCATTCAAATTTATCATTATTTTTACAAACTTTGCAGAAACATTTGAAAAAGGCAAACTCAGGATTTCGCGAAAAACATTAATTAAACACGTTTTCCAAAACACACAAAATGACTAATTTTGTCATTAAAATAACTGCCAAAACACCTTGGCTCACTTTAATTGCAGTATAGCCTGTTTTGGGAAGCTGGTTTATAGTATGCGCAAAAATATACAGTATAGCTACCGCCTACCTAACATTATCATGTCGACATTTAGCCAAAGATAGCGCGTAGGTTTTTCATGTTGGCGACCAAAGCCGACCATCGCAAAGTTAAAAGAAAACGCAAAACGTTATTGCAAACCGCTTATCGCAACATAAAATTATGATATGTATTGAAAAAATTCAATAATTCTTTATACTGATGAATTTTGAATTGTTGAGAGGAAGCTATTATAACGATTTTTAGTGGGTTATTCGTGAAAGGAAGTGTCGAAATTTTGAGACGGATCACTCACTACGAACTATACGCTATAGGCACTATGCTGCGCAACATGATGATCGTTTGTAACGTCGAGCTGGCGCGCAAAACGTCGACGTTTTTTCTATATTTTTAAGCCCAGTTAAAAAATGCAAGCAATGAAATTGATTGAGAAGTTGCGGTTTGTATTATTGTCAACAGAGGACGCTCCCCTCCGCAACTCACGTACGATTTGAAATTATAGTATTCGCTTCGTTTCTATAAAGATATAAGCACTTTAAGTAATTAAGATACTGTGAACGTATTTGTGAATCATATAGTGCATGGTGCTATCAAATTTTGGACTGTTAAAATACGACCAATTCTAGCCGGAAAGAGTCAATTTACATTGCCACGCATTTACTGAATATTGTAAATATTTTCAAAATTAAAATTGTTAAATTTTGTCATCAGTTGAATATACTGTGAAATTCTCTGTATTAAATTTAGAATGTAAATTCTATACATTTTTTAAACCTAACTATGCAGGAAAAACCATACAATCGAGATGCCCATGAAAATATGTATTAAATTACAGAGGAATCGTATATGATTATTAAAATTTAACTACAGTTTAACTAGTTAAATTCCAAAAAATTCGCTTTAAATTACAGAGAAATCGTGGAATCACTAGAATTTAACTACAGTCCAATTGTGTATACTGTTATTACTCTGTTGCACAAAACAAAGTGGAATTATAAAAATGTCATTTTGGAAAATTATGTATTGAAGCATGACGTGAAGAATAGATTGTGCACTTTGACCAAGAATTAAGAAAACATATAATTTGTTCAAAGAAACTTCTCCACTTGGGGGTGCAAACTGAACTATTTTTATACTATTAATGATCATACTATAAAACGTTCTGTATGTGATCAAAGAATAACGTCATAAAAATGTAGCATCAGTCATCAGACGATCTAAAGAGTAAAGTCGTTAAAATCGTCTGATGGATTATTTTTTAGACTCACACGCACTTTGCCCATGCATATAGGCTATAATCTATATAGTAGAAGCACTGCAGTGTTTGTTTTATTATTCCGTATATATACGCGGAATTAAGAACACTCGTCAAAACCGGCTATGTCTCGATCCCGGAAATCTCACTTACACGATGTGGGGGAAATATATTGTGTTCGCATGTGCAATTGATGAGGCGCAAAATTCTCCCAAACAGAATCACGCGATGTCTTACAACCGTATCATCATATACTATGTTGTATACAACCCGTGTACTTAGTGGTTAACTAATGTTGCAAAATGCTATATGAACAGCTAACAGCTTTCTCTGCAGTGCACAGACGAAATTGGCGCTTGGATGCAGCTTGAATTCTAAGTGTCACTTTTTATTATTATCCATGCATTGAAGGATTGTGTTGTTTGTACCAAAAGCAAGGGTGGAAACTTGGCTTTGAACCACATTTGATTAAGTCGGATTCTAATCTATTACCCCATCAATAGTGTATAAATAACGATCAATTCTGACATTTTATATATATGTTTCCACCCTTGCTTTTGGTACAAACAACACAATCCTTCAATGCATGGATTTGAACCACATTTGATTAAGTCGAATTCTAATCTATTACCCCATCAATAGTGTATAAATAACGATCAATTCTGACATTTTATATATATATATATATATGTATATGTATATGTATATATATATATATATATATATATATACATTGCTATATCGTTTCGTATAGCACCACAGTGCACTAATTGAGGTTAAAAGTTGTATTCTTGGAAGTACGATGAGCTCGATCAGAAAGCTAACATGGAAACCTCATGTGACTTGCTGGGATTCTAATCTCTCACGCTATCAAATATTATCGTGTTCAGAATGCATGTGTAATGTAGCAACAGCATAAATAATCAATAATAATCAATGTGTTCAAACTTCATGCTCGACGCTTTTCCCACATGCTAGTAAGATTGTACTGTTTACAACTAGAAATTGCACTGTGAATGTTATATGCATGATTCTAAATTTAGGATTATTTGCCATTTATTGAAGGCGTTACTCGGGCTATACGCTTGCATGCATCCAAGGCGATCATCGTCGAGGAACGCATAGCAAGCTGTGAGACATTTCACCCAGCAAATGGTTAAAAACACAGCTACTAAATTAATTCTCTACAATTACGCGATGCACACATTATTACTAAACTAAGTTGAATGAATATTACTAACTTCTATAATTCACATTGGCCTGTGGAGAAGTACAAAGAGAAATTATTCATTAACCCTATATTTGCCTCGCTGTAACATGATAAATAAAACGCGCGATGAGCCATTGCATGTTAGTAATGTCGTTAAGTAACAAAATATTTTCGTGTTTTGCATCGGTTTGTTAACTGTACATTGTGTAATCTTCGTTTGGTAGAATGATACAAACAATTATCACGACAACACGCGAGCTTTTGTTAGAAAAGCACATCTAGATATATCTCACTCGCATGCTCGATTTAATCCTAGGTAGGATTACATAGGCTTTTAAAACATGGATTTGCATTCTCAGGACATATACATCCTTGCCCGTTTGCACTTTGAACACACGTTTTTAATGTTAGGAAGACTAAATTAGGTAAACTATACAATCAGTTAACTTTTCTAGCGAAGATAGGAAGATCGTTTGCCTGTAGAAGTTATGACTTATGGTACACGAAGGCACTTCACGTCACATCACATCACATCAGACGCCGACTAGATACTGTCATTTTCAGCTAGTTCCTCGCGCCAAAGCTAGTATAGTAACCTCGTAGTATAATTATGCATCGCTAGCTACCATGGTACCTTCGTATACGAAACGTATTACTTAATCTAAAACGGGAAAGATCTGACATCGGAGTATATCGTATACCACTCGTTTATCGAACTGTATTTCGCTGCTGAAACAAATTCGCAAATAATATCAACACTTACTCTTTCTTCGCATTCCCCATGTTTGTGTGTTGTTCTTCTGTAGGTCCCTTATAACTCCAGTATATAGCTGTTGTTAAAAACACGACTTGTACTGTCTAACCGGCGTCAATGAAAGGCTACGCAGTTTTGATTCGGTCCAGTGCGAAGTACGAACGTACGTAATTATGACGTCATGCTATACGCCAACACAATTTGTCAGACGTATGGAACTCGACTCTGGATCACGTAGCGAGCTCTTTAAGCTTAGTCCCAACCACTGGTTGACGATTTCAAAAAGGGTGGGTTTCGTTAAATGCGTAAAATTACCATTCCCTTTGACAATATGCATGCATGGGCGTTCGTTTGATGTTACATATAGGTGAGTGGGCTGTACAATGAGTTTTTTGTATCGAGGCGTTACGAATAAGGCTATTTAAAAATTAATACTATGGGGTGGGTTTTAGCAAGTACGTTCTAGTGCGCACCAGATGATGTTCAAACAGTAAGTCTTTATATAATATAGAAAGTTTTTATTGATAGAGATGCAATTGCCTGAAAAATTGACAAGGAGAAGATTTTTTCTGTGTTGGTGTAATGTACTCAGGTGAATATGATGTCTGTGATGTTACTTTGAGTGTATATCCACACCGGGCAAGCTTGAGAAATATGCCTGGTCACGGTGGAAATCGAACCTACGACCTTTGGAATACTAGCCCAATGCTCTGCCAACTGAGCTACGCGGTCAGGTCGGTTCGAGTATGTGATATTTCGGAACTGAGTCTAGTTCCTTCGATACTCAATGCAATCTAGTAATCATGATATTAGTTGCTGGTGTTATGTACTCAGGTGAATATGATGTCTGTGATCGGTTACTCTGAGTGTATATCCACACCGGGCAAGCTTGAAAAATATGCATGGTCACGGTGGGAATCGAACCTACGACCTTTGGAATACTAGCCCAATGCACAAGGAGAATATCGACGTTCCGAAGAAGAAGGTATATGGCGTTCGCCGCTCGGAATGTCGAAATTCTCCTTGTATTTTTTCAGTTAGTTGTATAGCTATCGATACGAAGCTTTCTTATTATTGGAACCACCTTCACTGGCAGAGACAGTTCAAGTTCTTTGTATAATATAAATTTAGTATCCGACTCAGAGTTTCTAATATTTGCGGGAAGGTCACTCCAGAATTTGGCCGGAAGCGATCGAGATTGCACAACCTCCCAAGTTCCGTTTACGAGTCCAATATCGTTGCACAGTGTTGGATGCAAATTTTAAACGAAGTCAAAACCAATCCAGCGTTTTTGGAAGAAGCGAAAAATGGCCTAAACTGGTCTATTAATTGGCATTATGGTAATATAAAATGGCCATTTTTCACTTCTTCCAAAAATGCTACCTTGAGTTCAATCTCGGCTAATATTTTATAGAGATGTTTAAGGCACACATCAAAATTTAAGTTACACATTACTGCGTTAATTAACCTTTATTTGAATAAGATGGCTTCTTAGCCTTCTTTAGTTATTTAATTACAAAAGTCAAAGAGGGCGGGAACATTTTTTTGCGCCACACGGTAGTATTGGAACGAGACCTGTTAATGTTGCATCCAACTATTTTGGATGCTGTTGATTGGACCAACATGTCAGTGGCCCCGTTTCATTACAGTGATTACAGCCAAACAGGGTTAGATTTACTGGACTTTGAGAAATCCTTTAGAGTTGGAATGCAAGGATAGCGGGATAGGATAAGATAAGGATAGGATAACTTTATTTAAACATGGTAAACTGATACTCTTAGTCAGGAATTACATATACCTGCTACGCATATACACATTAAAAATATTTACAATTTATTACTGATATTAGCTAATTATATAAAACAATTAAAACATGCTTTCCAAGAGTCCATGAAAAAGTAAATGCAGCCTGCTTTAAAATAGGTTGTTTGTTTGTCGCAACCCAGTAGGAAGATTATTGCACAGCATCGCACCACTATAGCTAAAACTATTCTTTAATTCGTTTGTGTGGGGCTTCGGAGTAGCTAATTTACCCTCGGTGTCTCTCATTGAATAGTTTGCAATACCCTGCTACGGCTCAAGCATATGGGCTGCAAATAATCTGCAGCAAGTCCATGCATGGATTTGTGAAATGTGAACCATTACAGCCTTTTGAATTTTACGTTGAGTTTGAAGCTTTTCCCAGCCAATACTTGCAAGAAGAGCATTGGCATCATAGCTGGAAAATGTTACTACATCCTCTCTGCTCGATACAAATTACACACATGAGTATAATTAGCAATAAGACTTTCTAACTATAATGGTGCAAGAGATCCCTCTAGCATAGTCTGGTCAATTTAAACAGGACGTCCTCACGTCCTGATAACCAGACAATGGCTATATATAGGCCAGGCCAGTTGTCGAATAGCTTATTAAACAGTATTGGCACTATTGTTGTGATCATATATTTATTGTTGTTACTTTATACTATGGTGTTTTATAAACAAGCTGTTAGGTTGTTTGTTTCAGTGAATTTTAGGTTAACCGCTAAGGTTAAATTAAGCTAAATTAATCCGCCAAATAGGGTTATATTTAGAGGGTAATCAGGGTGGTTACATTTGGTGTCACTGACCCATTGCTGGTTGTAATAGGCCCTTTCAAGGTTAAGGACGCCATCTTGAATCTATTGTTTTCACCAGTTGTATTTGCCCCCCCCCCCCCTCCCGCAAATTTACCTATAGGGAATTCCATTGTGTTTGCACCCATTGCACTATTGTGTTTCATTATAGGCGTCGTTAACCTTGAAAGGGCCTATTCCTGCATGGTCGGTCTGAAGGTTGATCACTGACAGGTTCCTTCCAAGGCTATGTCCTCTTGGGCCGCCAGAAACCTTGCTTGAGCTTCACTGCATTATGGGCGGAACTGTTGCAAAGGCTCGCCTGTAACAACCGGAATGGAATGGCATGCGCAGAGCGTTGCATGTGCACGCTTGCGGTCGTAATGGTTGGCGGCCGGCCGAAAGTGGGTGCGACTTTGTGGTAAATCGGCCTTTGTACTGTACACCATCTGCACTTGCTGTAATGCTGTTGTCAAGGCTGTAAGCCAGAAAGGTTCCGCTATTAGTGGAGTGGTACCGTCAATTTCTGCTGGAAACAGCTGATGGTGAACCACTTAACCACTCTAGGCGCTGTACCAAATACAATCTCGTACCCAGGCTCTTTCCACTACCGAATAAATCTAATGGGCAGCCGGTTCATTGGTCAATTACTTTTACACTTACAGTATTGTCCAGTGGCCAAGTTGGATTTGTGGCCAAGCTAGTTAGATTTGGCCACGTTGGCTGAAGTTAGCCGGCCTCCGCAGGCATCGCCTTTAGATTATCGGGCAAAATTTTCTTACAGGCAACTATGATCGTATTTATCCGCAAACTACGTCACAAGGCAGACTTTTTGTCAACTTAATCCCGACATGGCGGCGGTTACGTAACTTGCGCACCACAGGGTTATAATTTGAAATGCGAAAACTTTGCAGACAATGTCTTCAGTTTTTAGAAATTTTGACACGCCTATGTGGGTAGATCAGGTAGAACAAATAAGAGCGGAATCACGAATTCTTGAGTTGCAATTCAGATTGAGACAACGAGGCAATTCCAGACAGCTCGACACCGTCGGAACCGATCCGCAAGCTCAGATCATAATCTAAGCAAGGATCCGCTATTTCAAATGAGTTTTGTACGCATACAAAACGACTATTTTGGAAACCTCAAAGAATCTTTGTTTACTAGAGGGTGTCGGAATTCCAACTAAGAAAATAATTGAGTTGGAATATCACATAACTGAAATATACAATTCGGCAGTTTAATTACAAAACCAGTACAATACAAGGAATAGCCTCGACGCAACGTGGTCAACCGAGATTAAAACTAATATATCGACAAGATTTTAACTGTGTTTGGAAAATATATACGTGCGAATCCCTCTAGCTTGTAGTCTTGGATGTCGAACTGTATTCATGTTAGGTGCTAATAGGGGTGTACCTTGCCAATGCAGGGCCAACAACGAGGGGTGTGTGTGTGTGTGTGTGTGTGGGGGTGGAACAACGAGAAACAAGCGCTTACCTGAGCGGCAGGAGGCTGCCATCTGTGACGCATCTGTGCATTAGCTCTTAGCTTGTCCATTTTAATGAAATGAATATTCTAAGTTTTACTAAGTTAATTAATTAACTTCATTAGCGTTGCTTATTAGTCATTAACTTAATTGATTTAGTCCAATTTGTTAGCACATTTAGAATATGTTTTGTCTTCGCTTTCATTCAGGTAATTTAATAGCTTAACACAAAATTTAAAATTATACAGCCCTCATATGTGCTTATGCTAGTCCAGGCTGTATTGGTCTTATCAAGATCAGTGTTTGCGTGCGCGCTCTAGAGATCTGCTATGAGATCGTGGCACTGTGTGAAACGTGATTCCCTGTGTACGTGAGTACATTGCCTGAGCTCTATCTAAGTGGAATGATTCTGAACCCATGATGTCGTCTCCCTGCTGTTTCACTGATGGACTTTGCATTTAGAAAGATAACATCGTAAATAATAATTGATCATGCAAAAACAGAAGCATAGTGCAAATTACAAAACAAGGACTGGACTACTCGTCCAGGGTGGAATGTTTGTCAGTTTTGTGCGCCCAATATTTGATCAAGGTTCAGTATTAAACATGCAACAGTGGCTGCACAAATCCTGTTTTAAACATATTCACATGCGCCCCCGAGTTGCAAATTGGTTTTAGAGCGAGACACTAGAACAGATACTAGAACAGATAAGGCAAGCATTTGAAATACGGGCGGCATTCAATGTTCAATCAAATTCCCTTTATTGAATGGCTGAAATACAAACAGAAATGGTCGAGAACGTTGTAGTGTGCATAACTAAATACATTTTTTCTACGCCAGTGCGCTACACCAGTTCATTTCCTCACAATTCTGTGCGAAAATGGAGCAAATTTATGAATTTTCCACGCCGAAGATCCGTTCGGCGCAGCCCCATCCTGGGGACTCGCGGACATGAAATAGTCAAAATTCGACTCGAAAAACGCAAAACTGGACTTGATTTCGATTTAAAAATCCACAAGTATTAATATTATCGGTCAAAGCAAGCGCCTTCCTCCTCTGAGAACTCGCTACGAACTCATGTGTAAAGAGTCGTGGGTTTTCTTTCTCCCACAAGGAAAGTTGACAGGGTGGGTTTAGGATAAACATAATTAGGAAAGTAATATCACAATTGTTGTAAAGATAAATAATCTAGGCAAGTAAGTAATATGAATAGGCGTAATACTTGATGACATCGGTCGCAGAAAAGCCCCAATGGGAAGTGAGCTAAATAATGTAGGGAGTATTATGTCAGAGTACGTGGAGAGCGAAGATACAGAAACAATTATATTTAATATCAACACTCGTGGAAATCGGCGAAACTGGAAATTGTGTGAAAACAGTCCGCCCTCCGGGCGTCGTGTTTCCACACAATTTCTCGTTTTCCCAATTTCCACTCGTGTATATCAATACGGAAACGGTTTTATATTTGTTAAAGCTATGGCACAACACTATTCGGCAATATACTATGACTATATTTAACCTCTTATTTAAAAAGCTTGTCGGCATGAATGAAAAATTCCAGCTGATTGTATCATATACTGTTCAAATTATATAATATTACTGGATTATATCACGTTCGAAGCGAGTTAACACCCTTGCGCACAGCCATACTGGCACCTAGTCGTTCGTGGCTAGTAGGTCCTCCCAATAGACCTTTCCCCTTTTAAGTGAAATTTTGATCTAGACAAGTCTGGACAAAAATTTCATCACAGCTTGAAAGAGCATCACAAAATTAGTAATATTCCGAACTTTCGTTGCGAAATGTTGTAAAATGCAGTAATGTAGCCTTGCGAAGTTTGCCGTTTTTCAGTCATTTTGCATTACAATCTAACATTTTGCATCAGTTTGATCATCTGATGCAAAATGTTAGATTGTAATACCAAATGACTGAAAAACGGCAAACTTCGCAAGGCTGTATTATCCGCATTTTACAACATTTTGCAACGAAACTTCGGAATATTACTAATTTTGTGATGCTCTTTCAAGCTGTGATGAAATTTTTGTCCAGGCTTGTCTAGATCAAAATTTCACTCATAAGGGGATAGGTCTGTTGTCGACATTGATGTTGTTAAGACTTCAGAGATGCCTTTAGGGTGTCCTTAATTAAAGCGATTTCTCTGTCCCACTTAAATTGGGTCCTTGCACCCAAACCGAGTTGACTCGATACAGTATTTACTGGACACATGCTAAATCCCTTTCGTTTTTGTATCTTGAGCAACCTCGTACACTGCGCTTGTGACTCTGAGAAGCCCTTGGTACGGGGCTATAGTACAAGGTTGTATTTGAGTCGAATTTTTAATTTCATGAATCCGTGAGTCCACTAGTATAGATCCACAAGTTCAGTCCTGCAACAGATACACGCCCCCTGTGGAAATCAGCTTCGGTTGACAGGGTTAGTTTAACCCTAGGTTAGCCTAAAATTCAGAGCAAACTTCCTGACAGCTTTTCCGATAAGTTTGGAAATATTTCTTCAGAGATCTTGTCTGGATCGATAGGAGTTTACTTCTCTGAAGTTTTAAAATAAACAGGCGTGCAGAAATACACAAACTACAAGAGCAGGTTAAATTTTAACCCAGGGTTAGCGTGGGTAAATAATGTTTTTCTATTCTACTCTAGATGACACATCATGGTCTCCCTGCAGAGTGCAGATGGGATAATAGTGTTAATTCTTTTCATATGTAGTAGTTTTGTATTTAAGAATTAGAATCGAGTAATGTAGCTTAATTTCCTTGCTCCTAAAAGCGTCAATAATAGTGCCGTATTGAGACCCTATATAGTACGGGAAGCCTAATTGGCAAAACGGGTGGCTCTCTTACAAAATTAGTTTAGTGATTGATTACATTACCTGAAACAACATGTTTGTTTAAATTTGCAAGGAAACAATTAGCCTTGCTTGCGTAAGTGGAATGAGACAAAGAAAGTTCGAAAACTAACATCTTGGGAAATGCAAGATATGGGGACGAGTTTGTGATATTTTCGGTTTTATTACAAAATCATGGATTGGATCTAACAGGATTGTCGAGTCATGTGACTTAGACTGGAGTCGTAATTTTTGTGACTTGATTTGTTAACAATCAAATTAACGACTTGTGACTCGAACAGAATGACTTGTGGTTTGACTTGGATGTTGTTGTCGGCATAACGTAAACAGAAAGTAAATATATTTAACTTTTCCACATCTTGCACTTGAAATTCTGAGTGCAGCCTGTGAGAGGTTTGTTTTGTCATATATTTTTTTAAACTGTCGGCTGGTATTGGTTTATGTTGTGAACGATCTTTATGTTAATTTGTATTCTGGGTTTTCTCCGAATTTGTAATGACAGAAGTTCTTGCGCTACTTGAATTTATTGAACTTCTGTTGGCATTGTGCAGTATATAATTTCATAGCCGGAGCAAGAGACCGAAAATAAGTAGTTATTTTTTCTTCTTCATTTCTTGCCACTGTCGTTGGCATAATTTCTTCAACTGCCGCGATCGGGATCGAATCCTGTAGGCTGTAAAATGGCAAAGTTCGTTGTTGTTCTGGGACCTGGGTTAAAATTTAACCTGCTGTCGTAGTTTGTGTATTTCTGCACGCCTGTTTATTTCAAAACTTCAGAGAAGTAAACACCTATCGATCCAGACAAGATCTCTGAAGAAATATTTCCAAATTTATCGGAAAAGCTGTCAGGAAGTTTGCTCTGAATTTTAGGCTAACCTAGGGTTAAGCTAACCCAGCTTTGAACAAAAGGCCCCGGTTCAATAAAGCGAAATACATAAACGTGGCGTGTCACAAACAAAGGCACAACTTTACATTGACAAATAGCGCTTATTGTGTGATCATCTTTGTCGGTACATGAAAGAAAGTCGTGAGTGGAACAGGTGCTCGTCTGCACAACATGCATACTGATAATAGGTTCATGTTGTATTCAATTATGCCTGCAGGCATCGGAGGAGAAGCGCTTGATGGTGTAGCAGGGGCAAGTCCTCCAGAAATAGTGCTTTGTATCAACGTTCCTTACAATGAAATGGTAGATAATAGATAATAACATTCGGTTCCTGGCCAACGCTGTGGCGTACGTGGGGGGCTAATTTGTTGCACCACTGGGATACCACTATTCTGCGAGCGGTGAATGTAAAAGGCGGAATGGAATGCGGAATGCATGAGGCCGGAATGGCTGGGGAATGCCAATCTTCACTCTAGCCCAACCTCAGTCATTCCCGCGTTCCGCATGCCATTCCGCATGGTCATTACCACATTCCGCATTTTCAGCATTCACTGCCCTGCGAGCAGAGCCCGTATATAGATCGCACGTACTGTATTTTCTAAAATGACGCTGCATTGAATAGATAATGCGTGCTTACTTGCCAGTTAAAAGTCCAGCGCTACTAAAATTATGCTATTATGAGAATATAAACATTGTACACTCTAAAAAGACTCGCTGGTTAAAATTTTTCTTCACCTAGAAATAACCCTATTTGAAACTTAATATTCCTGGTTACATTTTCTGGTTATTTCAGTATCTCATTTCAACCATAGTCTGGTCAATGTAACCAGGAATCTGGTCGTATTTGACCAAGATCGATGTCCTGGTTAAATTGACTGCACTATGTTTATGTGGATAAATAACCGAGGGGCTGACACTGGAAAAAAAGTGAAATCCATACTACGAAATTTGCAATTGCACCACTAAGTCCATAGTATATCCATCCTATTTCCATACTATATCCATACTACCTATGGAAATATACAATTATTATGGATAACCAAAATCCATTCTATTTCACAATAAAGGTCCATACAATTTCCATTCTATGACCTTCTATAGATTTTCAAAATTTTTTCCAGTGTGAGGGCGGCTATGAAGGCCCCGATCAGTTTTGGAATTGTTTCAATGACGTCGCAATGGGGCGTGGTGGGGGGGGGAGGCTTTTCGTTGTTGCTCTAATCCACTGTTGATCTCATTTTCGGGAAGCACTCGTAAGAAGGAAAGCGAACATAAGAGCTACGAGTGGGCTGATCTCCGTGCAGAGTCATTAGATCTGCTCGTAAATAATAGTTAGAGCGAAAGTGAATATTGGCCTGGCGGCTGTTTTCAACTTTTCAATATCGAGTTTGCTCAGAGGTATTACGGAGGACCGGAAATAAACACGACATTTACTTGTGAGTTCGTAACATTAACCAGAATTCCCATGTCTGTACATATCACTTTATTTGTATTGGATAGCTGTATCAGTTCTAAAATATAAGCTCCAGCGGACTGTGCCAATGTGGGCAGTGCCAATAATAACATCCTTGTAATATTATCCTTGTATTTTTCAGATATATATATATATATATATATATATATTCAGGATAGCTCTGTCGTTTCTAAACTGTTCTCTCTAAAGCCGGATCCAGTAATGCCCCTCCCGTATATTATCATATTGAGTACATAAGAGCCGTGTGTGGGTTCTCGGATGTTTGCCAGCCTTCGAGGCTAATTAAGTTGGACAGAAGAATGGAGTAAATATAGGTATGACAGATCCAATGGGGTTTTTCTGACGGATCATTTAGACATAGCGAAATAAACATGCACTACCTATGCGTGGGCCTTATATTGCCTGTTTTCTGCCAGCTTTCAAGTGCATGCATTAAATCATGTTACGCATGTCCTGTTTTTCATCGAAGAATATACAAAAGAGTCTTGCTACATTTCACATCATTATATATAGAAGCCACCACAAACAACTTACTGCAGTATGCAGCTTTTCCAACAGTGTGTAACAATTCCTTCGACAAGATCGATACAGCCTGTTGCCAGATCCTTACAACCAGTTCAGATACAATTTAAGAAAACAGAGAAAGCTTGTTCTTCCTGTTACAAGAACAAAGAGACTTGCTAACATTTTCACCAACAAGAGCAGTTTTGAGGACAATTTTTTTACACACATTTTTTAATCATTAAATATAATACATTACACATGAATTGTCAAAGGGATTAATAGATCAAGATATCAAATTGGGGAGGGTTTATTACAAAAATAAAGAGCTATATATATTGATTGTATTGAAAAAAATGTGTCTGCAGGAAACTGCCTCTCGTTCATGCCAAATTGAAGAGTGTCATGCAATACGGGTGGGTATAATATATTTAATGATTAAAAAAAAAATGTGTGTGTAAAAATTGCCCTGAAAGCTGCTTGGTGAAAATGTTAGTGAATCTCTTTGTTCTTGTAACGGGAAGAACAAGCTTTCTCTGTTTTCTTAAATTGTATCTGAACTGGTTGCAAGGATCAGCCAACAGGGCACAGGCTAGCTGTATCGATCTTGTCAAAGGAATTGTTACACACTGTCGGAAAAACTGCATACAGTAATTTGTTTGTGGTGGGTTATACTATATATGAAATGAAACGTAGCAAGACTTAACGCATCAGTGTAGAAAAATACAAGAGAATTAATTTAAAGCCCTCTTTTGTATTCTCTCAAGTTCGATGAAAAACAGGACTCACATGCGTAAGGACATGATTTAATGCACGCGCTATAGTACTTATAGTGTAGACCACCGGGCTTACTTACTCGGATCTCTGCTGCAGTGAAAAAAAAATACAATATGACAAAATCAGGACTCGCGGGCACCTCATTCGATAGGACCGCTAAATGTGAAGGAGTTCTGTAGATGGACATTTTGAGTCTAAATTTCACACATTTTTGACCTAGCTATAGGTCTAAAGCTTTAGAGTTTAGGCTCCTAGGTCTAAAGCTAGAAGCACTAAAGCAGCTGCGAAAAATGCAACTAAGTCTATAGGCTCTCTGGCCTAAGAGATCCTATAGGCTGGCTTACAAAACCCCTTCAATATTTGCGTGTGTTCATTTGAAACGCGTTGGGGTGGCCACACAAAACGCCAGCTTTGCAAACTACTTCAATCTTTACATGACAGCTCAA